AGGGCCTCACTAAATTGCTGAGTCTGGTCTCAAACTTGCATTCCTCCTGCCTCAGCCTCTGAGTTGCTGGGATTACAGGCATGTGCCATGACACCTGGCTCCTATAGCTTATCTACCAAGCTATGTCCCCAGTGTTTTTATTTTTTTATTTTGAGACAGGGTCTCACTAGGTTGCTTGCAGCCTTGCTACATTGCTGAGGCTGTCTTTGAATCTGCAATCCCATTGCCTCAGCCTCCCTAGCTGCTGGGATTACAGGCATGTGCCACCATTCCCAGCTCCTGTATTTCTTTCTTAGGTGTCTGCTTGATGCCAGGTGTGGACTGAATGCCAGGGTCAGGGTTGTGAGGAAAATCAATGTGGAGGTTGCTGCCCTTCAGATCACTGTCTAGTGGGAGGGAGCACATTATCAAATGTCCCAGAAAATTAATCTCAGAAATACACAGCTGTGGTAATAGGTGTAACTGACAGCAAACAAGTGAGTTGAGTGGTACTTAAAGCTGAGTTAAGTGTAATAAGGTGATCCCCCTTGGTCTTGGCAGGCTGGCAGCTCCCTGGAGATGGAGCTGAGAACATAGAGCTGCCTGGGCAACAGACCAACGTGGTTAAAGCTGAAGGTTGGACGGAAGGGGTTTGAGGGATCTGGGAGCTAATCAAGGGCAAAGATATGACCATGACAGGCAGTAACATGCTTGGACAGGGTGGCATGAGAAAGGAAGTCCCACAGCCTGAGTCTGTTAAGGCTTATGGTGGGTGGGGGGAGGGGAGGGGTACCATCCAAAAGGGAAGGGCACAGGAACTCCCAAGGTGGGGTGGCGACTGGAGAGAGTGCGTGTCTAGGTGATGTTTCTCAGGACCCCAGCAAGGAGTCTCTGGATAAAACTCCAAAGGGCCATGTCAGCTTGGGCTCTGTCTTATCAGTGGCCAGTAAATGCTATAATGACACAGGTATGCAAAGCAGGCAGGTCCTAAATGGCTAAAAATCTGCTTGTTTGGCAATTTTTTTAAAAAACTGGATGGATGTGTAAAAAATTGAGTTTATTCCAGGCTTCTCAGCTACAGGGTCTCAGCCTGTGGTGAGGAAATAACCAACACAGGGCTGTTGTGGCTCATTTTTATAACACTGGGGAAGCATGAGGCTCATTTGAGAAGCCAAGAAAGGCCTGCCTATGGGGAGCTTAGAAAGTGCTATATTTAAGTCCTGATCTTTTGTTTAAGAGCCCTGGAGAACCACTGTAATCAGAACTGTGGTGGGAAAATAGAAAAAACAACCAAAAAACAAACCAGAACTGGTTGGGAAGTATCACTGTGTAGTGGTGAGCCTGGGGGGAGGCCTCGCATCCATGGGGCAGTCCCATTAAACTCATGGAGAAGTAAGGTAGTGCTTCCAGAGTGTTTGCTCACAGGTAAACTGTAGAACACAGTCACATTCAATCCAGGCTCTGCAGAGACACTAAGGGACAGGTTCAGAGAGGAATTCTCTGTATGACTCTTAGAACCTAGAGTCAGGAAAAGTGACCTTTCTACTCTTTTGTGGTGTTTGGCTGCTGGAAAGTGTTTCTTTAGCACACTAGACCTTGGTGCTACCATAAGCTATTTGCTTCTTCCCAACCTTGAGTCCCTTTACAAAAGGACAATGGGACAGGAAGTCCAAAAAGAGGATGCTAGTAAGAGCTGAGCACCGTGGTGCACGCCCTGTAATCCCAGTGACTCTGGAGGCTGGGGCAAGAGGATTGCAGGTTTGGCCAACCTCAACAATTTAGAGAGGGACGCTCAAAAAAAAAAAAAAAAAAGTGCTAACTAACTAAGGCTGAAGGTATAGCTCTGTGGGTAGAACACTTGCCCAGCATGTGCTCACATGAGCACACACGCACACACATGTACATGCACACACACATGCACATACACAAATAAATAAAAAGAATAGGATGCTGTGGAACATAGGTCCAGGGCACCAAGAGCATGTCATCAGCCCAAGGGCTGGTGTTGCTCTGGGCAAATCTGGCCCATGCACAGCCCCTGGGGGTCTCTTCCCTGCCTAGAGATGTCCACTTCTGTCTTCTTAGTTGCTTGCCCTCCTCCAAATGTCCTGTCTTCACAAATTACTCTTGTCACTACTCCTGATCACACTCCATTAAGAGGACTATACAGGACAAACAGTCTCACCCCCAGAGGCTGTCCGTGACTTTGGTTTGACACTAGCAGGAGTTATCTGTACTTAGTCTCCTTTTCTAAACATAAAATAATCATCTCCTGGTTTGGAAGGAGGAATCTGCACATTTTCAGCCCTGACTTCAGTCTTCAGGATTCCCCTGCCCACTGGCAGTGTCTTGGCCATGTTCCCTCTGTTGCTGTGATTCTGGAGCAGCAGCGTTGGCATTACTTGGGAATTACATTGTTAGAAATGCAAATTCCTGGACACCCCACCACCATTCCCCCAGACCCACAGGATCAGACCCCCAGGGTGAGCCCAGCACTCTGAGTTGTAACTGGGCCTGGGTGGGGGTGGGGTCTGATGCTTATTGGAGTTGGAGAACCACTTCTGCAGCCCAAGCATGGATACTTGGCAAAAGTGCCCAAAGTTCATCTTCTTTCATAATTAGTATGTAAAAAGGACAATGTGTTTTCTTTTTCTAGGATTTTTTTTCCTCTACCAAAGGACTTTTCAGAATTTATGATATGTGCATGATCTCTTTACAAGAGGGAGATAGGATATGCAGTTTTCCCACTTTATTTGATTAGATGAACCTTCTCCACAAGGGGCAACTCACTGAAATCACAAGTATTCATGGAATATGCTTCAGAAAATGA